CAAAGTTAATTTTTACAACGTCAAAGTTCATCTTGACAAAGTCAATATTTCCCTATATATACAGCATGGAGCACTGATGATGATTCATTCGGAATCGAAATATGGCCTTATTTGCAGCATGAATTCGAAAAATAAGTTTATTTTGAATTTTAATAAACTAAACGTTCACCAAAAAACTTTAGTGAGAAAAATCGAAAAAACGAACTACAAACATATTAACGCCAAACATTCGGTAGAATTTATAGAATATTGTAAATATATATATATATATATATATATATATATATATGTATATATATATGTATATATATATATTTATGTATATATATATGTATATATATATGTATATATATATACATATATATATATGTATATATATATATATATATATATGTATGTATATGTTTTGTGCAAGAAAATAAAATGAATTTAGACTAAATGTCAATTTTTGAGCATGGGAATTGATCAAACAAACAAACATCCGACTGTACGACTGACTGATTGTCTATATGATCTGATATTTATCAACTTTGAAATTTATACTCTATGTCTTATTTTTATAACTTCATGTTTCACTCTGTGAAGGTGCACGCACACACGCACACAAACACATACGTATTAATTACATATATATATATATATAATATATATATTTAGTTATATAATAATTATATATACATATATAATTTATTTGTATATGTACACACAATATACACACAAATATAGAACCATACCAAATCACACACTTTCAGTTTGAGTCAAAATTTTTTAATAAAAAATCATTACAATAAATTTTTTGTTTCTATTTTTACGACGAGAAACAGAGAGTCTACCCAAAATACATTCTCTTACTGACTCTTTGTTGAACTATAATCTACTTAGTCTTTGAAATTTAAAACAACATTCGTGAATTGATTACAATATGAAAGAAGCCAGCAGCCCATCCTTCAGAGTTTGGAAAATGGAGAGACGACGTAAAGTTGTCGCATGTTGGCCAGCGAAATGTCTCAGTGGTTCAAATGCGCGCTGAGTCAAACATCTCAATGGTTATCATACACTCAGCGTGCTTGCGGGTGCATATAAATACATGTGTACGTCGTGTAAAAAGGATGATGAGCCTTTGTGGCAAAGATGGCTGCTTCAAACCAATGGATGAAGATAAGAAGAACATAATAATATATATGTAACATTGTAAGTGGTTCTGCGTATGTCAGTGCTGCAATAATAAAGACTAAAAAAAGGTTATATACTTAAGAAATAAAATTGAACAAACCACTTGAATGAGTTACGTTGTTACTGACATGAAATGTAGCGTCTCATGAAGGTCGGAAGAGTACCGCACGCACAAAAAACTTTCGTTTGGTTGTCAGAAATGCACGCAGGTAGGTAGACGAACAAGTCTCCTAAGACGGCACTTTTCTACAAATACCTATCAAATTCTCAATTAAAGTAACACAATATTGCTTCTATTTAATTTTATCAACCTTTCAGCAGTTTATTAAACTAATAAATATATAAAATTCCGTGAAATTTAAAACAAAAGAAACAAATTGACACAACTCAAAAATATTTAGAACACGTTTATTTGTAGAAGCAAATGAACGAATTTTTTAGAACACACGCCCCTGCTTACTAACAGTATACTGCATACTGCATTCTATATGGCATATATTCCTATGCATACGTGCATGCATACATACATTCAATACATGTGCGAATATGTGCATGAACGTTATTTTATACAATACAATACACATGTTTGGTACACACACACACACACACTATATATATATACACTATATATATATATATATTATATATGTTACACACATGTTCTCGATATATACACCCATACAATACATGTTATATTGTTCAGCGTTGGAGAGCTGTAATGTTAAGCGGTTACCTGTGAACGTTTACCTTTATTTTGCATCACGTGATTTTGATGCTGGCTTATTTAGCGATGCGTAATGCGCTATAGCAATTCAAGTTGGAGAATTGTACGAAGAAGATCGAAGTATTATACTATTAATTACAGAAGAGTAAGTACAGAAGATTATTAAAATTGAAGCGCCACCAACAAGTTTTATTTTATTGTTTAGCTCTTTTAAACGCAAACAGACTGCTAGTGACTATTTTTTCGAAATAATGTCCAAAAAATCTCGAGCCGCTCCCAACGTTGTCATTAAACGCTCAATTTTAATTGTACTTTATTCATTACTTGGTGTTGAAGCCTCATTTCTTTTCAATAAATTGTTTTGTGTTAAGCCGAATCAGATGTATGTTGACTTGTACGTAATGTATGTACGTATTTATGTATATACGTATGTATTTATGCTTTCTTTATTACTATGAAGTATGAACAGGTTAGCAGCATACGAGTGAGCAACGTAGAAAGAAGCAACGCGAAGAACGCATATGTTATCATAGCGTTGAAAGGACTAATGTAAATAATGATGAATTATACATAAAAAATATCGATCGAATACACCCCGCTGACAGAATTTGCGCGCAAATTGTTTTTGCCTCCTGAACATAACTTGTGGGCCTCACTGCATCAAATATTTGTCATTGGACGTAAGCAGGGGGATATGGTTTCGCGTAATGACACATACACAGCATCCCAGTTTCAACAGTTATTTTTGCCACGATTTAATTCCAATCTCCGTATGAACATTTATTTAAGCAATGCATTTGATATATCTTCTCTCTCTCTCTCTTTCTCTATCAGTATTTTCCGTTCAATTGCTTTTACCTGCCTTCATGAACAAGTGAAACTTGGTCATTCGTCAACGTTTGCTTTGTCACCAAGGTGTGAAGACAAAAGTAATTATCTCTTAATTCGATCACATGAAAACGCCGAAATCGTTTAAATTTGTTATTGTCGTGCAAGAATACAACAATAATAATTACAAATTTTTGATTATCTTTGTTTTTGTTTAATTTTTGTTTTGTAAGAAGTTTTAAACTTGTGATCATTTTCTGTCTGTTTCTCAACAACTTTTCATGTAGTTCGCGATCGGAACACAATCCTTCTTTGTAACTTTGGAAAAAATCATGCAGAACTTTTCGCTTGTAGCATATTAATGCAAATTCTTTATTATTCTCCGTGGATAGGATGCCTAGCAGTTTGTGTTTTTGTTCGCTATCTTTTATAACCCAAAACATTGCGGAAGACGTCTACTGAATCCAATGGCTAAATATAGAACAAGAATAGTATCGTCAATATTACGTAATGAAAAAAACATTAGACAAAAGCTGGATTCTCAAAATTATTGGTTAATTAATCAACAAACCAACCGACAATATTTGAATCGCACCATGATTAATTATAATGTAATAGTTATTTTTCACGTTAATCTCTAGCTATATTCTTCACAAAGTTTCAAAAAGAAAAGTTGTTAGATCTTTTGAACGTTTAAGCTGAAGAAAAGCATAAAATCTTAGAAAATTCCGCCTCCACCGAAAAGTAACTGAAAAAATTTCAAATAATTACTCTCGAATAAAATTATCTGAATTCGTTTCTCCATGCACTTAATTGAAGATGGTGCCATTCATTTAAATTAACAATCGGAAAATTACGTTAGACCAGCAACAGCAAAAATGCTGTAAAAAAAATTCTACATACCATACGATGGATTTATTTGAAAATCTTGACACTGACACTAGATCCTGAACTACATGAAAAGTTGTTGAGAAACAGACAGAAAATGATCACAAGTTTAAAACTTTTTCAAAACGAAAATAATAAACAAATTTAAGTTTTTTGTAAAAAGGCAACAAAAATATATAGGAAACTAACAAGCACAAAAATTTACTGTTCACTAATCTCTCATTTGTGTTTTGCAATTTTAATCATGTTCTTTACAAATTTAGAGATCGAAAAGACATCCGTTATACGTTTTTCAACTATTTCAATAAATTTACATTCAGTTTCAGAAGGAATCATATTCGGATGCAACACGAATAATAACAATTTAAGTGAAGCAATTATATTAGATCATGAAACATTGTTTAACAATTTAATTGAGGATATCACAAATTATATAAATAAAAGAAACTGATATGAAAAATCACACAGCGAAGACAATAATATACAAAAGAAACTGGAAGCATTAAATTTTCAAATCAAACGGCCCAACAGAATGTAAATAATATAAGATTCAGTTAAATTGAATTATGCAGCCAATCATGAGTTTATTTCATCCAGTAACGATTCTGCTAGCATCTTGTTGCTAGGTGCTTCTCCTAATAAATTTTCTATCAATAACTCTGGCCTTAGCTCACCTCCATATTTCAAAACTTCATTCTTTAATCTTGAACCCATAACAGCATTAAAAGGATCTTTCTTGAAACATGTGTTCCAAATTTTAGATGCAATAGCTCTAGAAGTTAAATACGAATAATATTTCGCGCCATAGCCAACAAAATGACCAAATCTAAGATGCCAAGAAACGTTAGGAACACTTTTTAAAAAGTAATACTCGTTTTGTAAATCAGAGACTATTTCAGAGGTGTCTTTTTTGAATGGATAACTACTGTGAAAAACTTGATCCACTATTGAGTAGAGTATCTGGAGCTGGTTGTCAGAGGCGAACAATAACTTTTTCATATTTTGACACTTCAAGGCTAATTCATGTGGTATGGGTTCCCCAGTCACCCAATGTTTAGCAAAGCTACACAGTACTCTGGAATCTAAAGCAAAGTACTCCATGAGAACTGAGGGTACTTCAGCAAAATCAGTGGAACATCTTGTGCCTGTGACGTGTTGATAACGTGTTCTGCCAAGCATGGAGTGCATTGCATGCCCAAATTCGTGAAAGACGTTTTCTAACATTGATAAAGTGAGCAATGAAGGTGTGTTTCCTAAAGGTGATGGCAAATTTAGCATGAGTACAACCATTGGCTTTTGGTAGGTGCCATCATCTTTTTGCTTACCACCTTGAATTGTGAAATGGCAATCCTGAAGTGGCTTACCAACTCTTTCAAAAAAGTCACAATAAATGTACCCTAAAACTCCATCAGTTTTATGCTTAACAGCCAGTTTATAGACGTCATTTGACCAGACCTCACCATTTTCAGTTTCTTCATACTCTAATGTGACTTCATACAAAATATTGAATAAATTATTTAAACCTTCCATGCAAGCACCAAGTGGTAAATAATTTGAAATTTCTTGAGAATTGAGTTGTGAAAATGATAATCTGGCTATATTTGCATAATGTGTCATATCCCAGGGTTCTATTGGACCATTAAACCCATAACTATTTTTTAACTTTTTTAACATTTCAAGATCCTCAAGTGATTTAGTATAGAATGAATTTGATAGTGTTGTTAAAAACTCCATCACATTATCAGGATGCTTAACAAGTGTTCCTTTAAGAGCCCGATGACCAAACGTTTGAAAACCAGCCAAATTTGCCATTTCAAATCGAGATTTTAAAAGACTATCTAACCTTTCAGATTGCTGTTTATTAGGATGTAGATAAATTTTATATGCAGCTTCTCGAACTAAAGGACTGTTATTTTCTGAATATAAACCATTTAATCTAATATAACTACCATTCCAAGAAAACACATTTTGCAAATTTTTTGGAATGGCGCTTCTTAAAATTTCAGAAGGTACGTGACAGTTTTCCATGAATAAAGCACCTAACATGAGAATATTTTGATTCAAACAAACAAACTTTTCTCTATCAATTTTTGAGAGATGGATTCCACTCAATTCAAAATCAAATAAAAATAATTCAGTTACCCTTTTGTCTATCTCATCCATGTGATACAAATCTCCATTTGTAAAAACATGCTTCAAGGCTTTGTAAATATCTTGATTTGTATTCAGAGTTTCTACCAGTGAGCTGACAGCTATGCAAGTATCTTCAGCAGCTTGTCTGAATGAGTTATTAGGATGAGCGATTCTTATAAAATCAGCCATGTCTGCAACTCTGCATAGAGAATCTGATAAGTTATCAAATATTTTAACAAGCGTTCTTTGTCGACTTTTTGAACATACTTCCTGAACCAGATCATCTGCCTCAGAGAGAACCTGCTCTTTCAACAAATAAAACCCAGTGTAATCAGTCAGGTGAGGTATATTAAACAACCCAACACTGGATCGACCGACACTTTTGAAGAGAGATTTCTTCGGCTTGCTGTTGAACGCTGTCCCGAGGGAAGACCACTTGGTCACGAATCGCTTACCACTATGACGACCATGAGGAATTCTAATTCTGTGCATGCCAGGTAGAAAGAATAATTTATTCCGAAACATTTCGCCAGCATTTCCTTTGAATTGAAAATCACTTATTATATTAATCAATAAAACTTCATGTCAACAGAAATCAAACCATTTTTATCTTATCTGACCTGACGAATTTCTCTTCACATTTAATTTTTAAAACTTAATTTGTTAACACAACAAACTGCAACCACCACAACTAAATAAACAACACACGACAGTAAAGGCAGTACCGTAAAATATTTTTGATACCAAATTAAATTAAATTATTATTCTTATTAAATAAAATTGTATTATTCTACATATAAATATATGTCCTGTAGAAAAATTATTCGGCCAATAAAATTATTAATAAGGGAATATAAGAGAATTTTTACGGTAAACTAATTACTACAGTAGCCTGCTTTGGAAAAGTAAGAATTTGAATCTAATTGAAGATGAAAGGATGAAATTTTATTTCCTAACTGATAAATAATTAGCATTTTTTCAAACAGACTATCGCATGATAAGGCATAAGATAGAAAGGATACTATGAAAGCAATGAAAAAACAATGTTGTAAATCATATGTTTAAATCTTTAATCACATAATAAAATGGATGAAGAATTTTATTAATTATAAGTTTTCAAAAAGCTAATTTAGCAAAATAAAGCGTAAAATACATATACTTATAATATAGATTGAAGGAGCTTGAAGCAGTTCATTATACTATTATTCTAATGATTTCAAGGAGCGACGGCGTGCAATGCTAACGTGCTGCAGCAGTTGGCAGGGTGTCGTTTGTACCATCAGTTGTGCCACACGTCGTACGTTTGCGTATCTCTTGCGATCATAATTCCAAAACACAAGTACATTTTACTGTTTTAGCAGCGAATGTTTACCAAGCGTGAAAGAAATTTGTGTAATAAATTCCTTATTATTATGTGAACTCCTGCAATTGTTACGTTGTTGGAACATCGGCCGCCTAGATGGAGAATAATTACATTTCCCGAACGAATTCAGTGATGAGGTCCAGTATGGACGATTCGTTGAAAACAATCAACACGCAGAGTTGCGAAATCCCTATCGCCAGTCTCATCAAAAGTCACGAAAGTAAGCTTAAAACCATATTTTGAAATTTTTTTGAAAATAAATACTCCTGAACATTTAATATTTTAATTTAATGCACACATCTTCTGGTAAATAACAATCAAATATCTGGTGAAAATTGACGATTCAGTGCTCATGAAAACGGAATCAAGTTTTTTGGAAGCGTGCCGAACGAACGATCTTGATCTTTTGAAAAGACTTCTTTCAGAAAATGAAGATGTTAATAGCAGGGACCAAGTAAAATAGTTTTACGAATTCTATTAGCATATTATCCAATTTTTTAAATCCTTTTATCAGGCATATTATTAGCATTTCTTAATTAAATAAAATCATACACGCGCGCATGTTGAAATGAAATAAATATGGAACAATATACGCCGCAGATGGACAGAAGCGGGTTGCATTACGCCTCTGCCAATGGTCACGATCAAATTGTTAACCAACTACTTGATTCTGGAGCCGACTACGATGCAAATGATAAAGTTAATCATTACTGTTTTAGTTACATTTTTGCTGCTTTTTGATGTTATTTTGCTCAAGTTACGTACTGTGATTACCGCTTTCAAACGTTGATGTAGCATTTACCAAATTAAAACTCCGCCAATTGATTTATCATATGAGATAGTTTATTTAGAAATGACTTGCTGAAAATGCTAAAATAAATATTTATTACAATTAAAAAGTTGAATGAATTCATCAATTGCAAAAACAAATAATGATTTTTAAGTTGTTTTTGAGTGCAACAGAAAACATACTAACAAGAATACAACAAAAACACTTAAATACAAAAATATAGCTACACACAACCACAAAAACATACACACAACCACAAAAACATACACACAACCACAAAATCATTCACACAACCACAAAGACATACAACCACACTTGCACACAGCACGGTATGACTGGTTTGTTGTGGGCCTCCTGGTTTGGACATGTCAACGTAATAATCGAGCTGATGAAAAGAGGAATTAACGTCTCGTTCACTAACGTTGTAAGTCTTTTTTTTTAATTTTTTATAAAATTATAATGAAATAAATAAATAATAATAACAGAGTATTAATAACAAATTTTACTTTTACTAACTGGTTAGCATGGCATGAATCTAATTCACTGCGCGGCTCTCAACAATCAAATTCAAGTCATCGATTTTCTCATCGATATCATCAGTGAGAAACCGGCCAATAAGGTTACTTCATGTTTATTAATCTATTTTTGATTTGATGTTTGATTTAATGCAAAATTTTTAGGAGAAATACGGCCTGAACTTCGCCACGAAAAAGGAACACTCGGATTTTCACGACAGAATAAACGAAATACGTTTCAACATAAACAGCAAAAATAAGGTAGATCGATAAAATCTGACAGCATAACATGACATTATAAACGGAAAATAATAACTTTTTGCGAAGGCCGGCCAGACTGCTTTTCATTTGTCTGCGAAATTGGGATATATTGAAACAATGAAGCTACTGTTGCCGCTCGTGAAAGATGTCAACGACAAAGACTATGTATATTTTCGTCCTTTCAATATGTTTAAGTTTTCATTTTTGTGATTTTTTTTAAATTATTCCCTTTTATCAAATTGTATATGACAGATAAATAAAAAATAGCGCAAATGAGGAATTTTAAAGAAATACCATAATTGAGTTAACGTTGATCCTAGGAGGGCAACACGCCTCTGTACTCGGCGGCTGAGAATGACCATCCAAAGATTGTCCAGTTTTTGTTGAACAACGGGGCTGATGTCAACGCTGAAAACATTGTACGCTATTTTTATTCGTCTCATTTAATATAGTTTTGTGGTTTCAGTTAATTGTATGGTTAAGGTCTTTAACATTTTCTTTATTTTTATTTATTTTTGTTAAATTATCCCAACTTTCATGCAGTTGTGTCTATTTTGTTACATCATTTACATATTAACGTTATTTATTTAAAACAATTGAATAAGTATTCAACATTTATTCGTTAGAAAATGTCGACACCTCTCATGGCTTCCGTTGTGCACAATGACATCAACCTGACCAACTGCTTGATACAACACAAAGCCAATGTCAACGCAAAAAATTCGGTAGGGCTGATTAATTAATTCTGTTAAAATGTAAGTTGTAACAATAAATTTGAAAGTACATTTTTAAAGATGAAATCACAAAAAGTTTGATTCAGAAACAAAACGATAAACATATCCTACAATAAAAAATCTGATTCATCCATTGATGACAAATGGATGATGTTAATGATAAAATTTTGATCACCACCACCGGCCAGCAAGGAAACACTGCCCTGCACATCGCATCATCATCTTCAAGTGCTGACGTGGTTCAGCTACTCATAAGCAATCACTGCAACATCAATGCTCAAAATAATGTTAGCTCACAAAAAATTTTAAAATTCTACTTTGACTAATTTGTTCATCTTTTTTAAATTTTAAAAGTGTCATAATCCTACTTTTTAAAAATAAAATAAGTATAAAGAATTAAATCAATGCTTTTAATAGTATTTAATTTTGAATATGCAATAGACATCAAACGCATAAACTGCATATGCAAATATATACATTAGAGACTTCAGACACCTCTGCACATTGGAGTTGAGAAAGCAAGCGTGGAAGTGGTTGACGTGTTGTTGCACGCAGGTGCCGACCTCCACATTCAAGAAAAAGTAGTCTCCCACTACAATTCATTATTTCCAAGTTAACACAGTATTCAAGCAAATTTTGTTTTATTTTGATTTGATCAGCCAAATTTTAAAACTTTTAAATCTATTTCATCATAAAAAGTGCCTGATATATTTCAGAGTGGTAAGACAGCGTTAGGCATCGCCTCACGTGGCAGCTTGATTGGAATCGTTGACATGATCATCAAAGCTGAACATGATCAGTGCTGCGATAAAGAGAATTTGTCAAACGTTACACAGTGCCAGCTGCATCATTATTGTTTCTATAAGACGAGCTGCAACGCATTCACAGGATCATATTCCGCCCTCGCAAATGTGAAGTTCATTCAGAATGCCGTTTTGTTTGATAACACATTTTTCAATATGATACTGTTCAAATCAAATTAGTCTTCGCCAAAATCAGAATGAGTTTGAAATTTGATATTTTGATTCTAAATGCGTTATGGTGAAATTATGATAATGAAATTATTGCCAACTCTAAAAAAGGCAACAAACGACAACAACTGTTTGATGAACAGCTCAAAGACGAGGATGTCTCACTCGGCAACCGCTCACAACGAAGTCTCGGATTATTTAAAAAGTGTTTTCTGGAAACTTGCGACCAAACAATTGAAACCAAATGATTGGAAAATGCTGGCAAAACATTGGCAATTTACAGACAACCACATCAAAGCAATTGAACATCAGTACACAGGTCTGTTCAAAATTTTTTAATTAACTTTTAGTTATAAGATTAGAAATGGACATACAATTTGTTAAAAATTATTTATCAAAATCATTGACATAAACATCTAGTGGCGGATCTAAATAAATTTTACGTGGGGCGTAAGGTTTTGAAAAATAATGAAACAATTTTTCAAAAAAGTTGACGACCGGGGTGGCGGAATTTTAAAAAAAGTCGATGACCGGGGAAAGGGATAGATTTTTCAACAAAAACTAATGACCTATAGGGAAGGGAGGGAATTTACACAAAACTTGGTGGCCGGGGAGGGAGATTTCCGTCTCAGGGGGCCAACATTTTAACGGGGGGGAACTAGTTTTCTATTCAAAAACATGACTTTTCACGTTAAAACAACGACTTTCACCATCTTTCAATATAAATAACGCTCACAACGCCATTTCCTTGTTAACATCGTAAATACAACGAAAGGTAATGAAAGTTACAAAGAACACGGATACAGATTACTTCTGATTTGGTACCACAGTCTTGAGAAAAATGAAAACCCGATAAAAAAATTATTTGAGGGCTTGGTAGCCATCGGACAACGAGAACTGGCCGGTTAGCCACATTTTGTGTTCCTTATAAGTAAAATTTTCCCATTGGCTATGAATGATTTTTATAATATCAATAATTATATTTAATATTAAACTAACCTTAAACATATTTTGAAGAACAAGTGAGACAAAGGTGCAATTTAGAAATCGAAAAGCCGTCTCTATTGCAAAATTATTGTAAAGTTTCTTGAAATGGCTACATTCATTTTAATATTTAATTTTTTATTAATATATATTCTATTTTCAATATAATTTATTTGGTTAAGCATGTTGATAAATAATTAGTAAAGTGCAAAAATATCTACAAATATAATTTTTTCAGAATAAAATTTTATGTGTCTTTCTTTTCATAAATATATTGTTCTATATTTTTTATATTGGAAATAGCCAAAAAATGGTCATGATAAAAATAGTTTTTGCCGAACTGTGATGGAACTCAGTCTTTTTGACGGTATTGATCCGCTAACTGAATGACATGATTGGATTTGGTGGCCTGGAAGGCGTTTGTCAAATGAATGAGTGAAGTCCTTGAATTATTTTTAAAATAAAAAAATGTATTTCAAAAATTTAATGCCAGCTGGTGATTTTGTAGGGAAATAAAAACATTGTAATATTTTAAATCGGATAAACTAAAATGATTTGACCCGTTTGTCGTGCTTATAAAAAAATAACTGATGCTTGATAGATTAAAACTATTTCAGTGAGAAAAAGAAGCTGGTAGTAAAAAGTTTGGAAGCCTGCCGAGACTCAAAACCATTGAATTATATAATTTCATGCTCAAAACAGAAGGAGATTTTGGAAAGTGACATGATTAATTGGTCCATCGACCTCAGCCACTCGTTAAGTGACTGACTGAAGACGTTTTGTTTAGATTGATTGTTTGATTAAATAAAAAATGCCCAATAAGATTTCATATTTACAAAAGAAATTGATGCACTTGAATGAATTTTTAAATGTTTTATGAACGCTATTATGTGTACAGTGATAAAAAATCATATAATAAACGTGTAATACTCAGAGAATATGTGGGCAAGCGCCAGCCTAAATGATCCTGTGAAATGATTCACTATGTTTGTATGTTTCGTTCGGCCGTTAGCTGAATCCTAAAATGTAAAAAAAGTTATTATTTTTTTTAATAGCTCCGAACTTTGAAAATTAAAATGAACGGTGGTAGAAACTCTTGAAATTATCTGCTTCTCATTTTAAAGTTTTGTACAGATTTATTTCGAAAGATGGCAGATGATAGTGATGCGGCTGACAACTGGGAGGCTCTGGATGATCATACGGTCTCAATGTTTTAAAAATTAGAATTTTTAGCTGAATAAAAATGTAAAAAAATAAAAATAAATTCATTAATTCACTTCAGCTTCAATTAATTTAAATTCCTTCCAATTCAATAAATAAAATGATCATGACAAGCACTGACAAATTTTTACTTTTTTGCTTGCTTGTAATTATAATTACAAAGGTACTAATGGATAATACTACATAGCTACACTGTTACATTTTACTTTGTATCTCTACCACCTTTGTTAATTTTGAAATGTATTATAATTATTATATTATTATTATATAAGTATTATTACATTACTCAATTAGTTTTATTAATTAACAAACTTAAGAATGTATTAAAATAAAAATAATATAATAACTAATCTAACTAATGCAAATTAATCAGCATGCTTGTTCTTTTTAATTTAATTATGTTTTAATATTTAATTTAAAGTGTAAAAACTATAAAAGTTGTTATTGAATATTATATTAAGAATAAGTAAATGACCTGCCTATATATCTCCTTTGCTTAAATTTTTAATAGTTTCCACCCAGCAACACATATATATTATATAGTGTTCTTTATTATTTCAATAATCAATAATTGAAGATAATTCAAGGTTGTTAAAATTTGTTGAGGCATTTTCCACACAGTTTCGTTTCAAATTGTTGGCATGTTATACTTATGTTTATTTGTTTTTTTTAAAGTTGCTATGTAATGTAATGACGTGTCGCTGTAGTGCTTATCTAATACAACTTGTATTAACATTTAAAAATTATCTTATATTTTCATTTAATATTTTAGTTTATTGGTTAACGTTTTTATTTATTTTGAATAAAATTTATTTATTCGATATTCAGGAACTAAATAAGCAGTTAGAAAAATTAGTAAGCAAAGTTGAGGAGCAGAAAATAAATAATGCATTTGATCAATCTTCCTTCTCTTCCACCACGGCAACAATCTTGACAACGAACAAACCAGCCATCCGAATTCTTAGAAGAGATACAACTCAGAGTCAGTCTACGCCATCATTAAAGTAGTAAATGATCCCGATAAACTTTCATTCTTATTAATTATTCACCAGAACATTTTGGGCGGCCAAATAAATAAATTAATATATTTGGCATCTTCTTTAGAATATTGGTTTTATTGATATTGAATTCAATAATATCGTTCATGTCTTTATTTGAAAATTTTGAAACAAATGAATTTTGAACTATCAGAATATAAGCATTATAGAGAGGTTAATGATGTTTAACATTTACATAATATTTCTTGTTAGGTCTATGGTTGCCAGCAAGCCTGTTCGTACAATTGAAGAAAGAGAAGCCGCATATGCAAAGGCGAGATTGAGGATCATGGGGTCAGCTGATGACACCTACCCCTCCGATGGTCTTGAAGGGTTTGTAATTTTATTTTTTTTATTTATTTATTAAATAAATAAGTAAATTTCAATGCTTTGCATTGTTTTTCATTTACATTCTTACTCTTACAAAGCTGTTTCATGTATTTCTGTTAATTTATTTGTTGTAGTTAAATTTTTTATTTGTTCGCTTATAGATCAGCAGTCAATTCATCTGGCACAACCCTGGCATCCAATAAAAATTGTATCAAAAACACCTGTACAAATACTAAACCGTTGTCGTCGTCATCATCATCCACGTCTGTTAATTCTAAAAAACAAAATCCTAATTTGCTGAGGTAATGATGTCCTCGTCACCGTTTATATGAAATAACCTTTTTTAAATTCGTATTTTTTTAATGAAATGAATGAATATCTACAGTTATCATTAAAATCAGTATAAAAACGTTTGTTGAGTTTTGTACTGCTAGCCTTAATATTTTGAACATGTGAAATGAGAACGTTCGTTCACCTTATATTATATTATTGGATGATGAATTTAAAGTATGTGATTTGTAATTCATTCAATAAATCTGGTTTAATAATATTTATTTATTTCCTAAAGCATTGAAGCGTCTCACAAAATTTTTCAACATGCCCAATGAAAGCTCATTTTATTGTTGGATAAAAAATGTTCACCAGTTTATAAAGTTTTCAAAGCTTGCAAATAAACATAAATTAACTGAAATCGTATTTCAATAACGTTTTTTTATTGCCGAGTTTTAATGCATATTAATATTGAATTGTCATCTGTGTGTTCCAGTATAATGTTAGAAAAAAACCTCTTAATCACATTCCTTGGGAAACTCGCAAATGAAATAGTTCTTCTCAGTGCAGAATTTTTTCACCCAGGTCCCTTGTGCTGGAGAGAGTTTAACGTCGAAGTTACTGCAAACATCATCGACTGATTGACCAACTGGTTTTATTCCTCTGTCCCAGTTGGAATATGTTATTGGCGATTTTGTTTCCAAGTTGCTGTCGTACCAGAACCATTGGTTGTTTTGTAGCTCGTACATGGCTGCCATCCAGAAGAATTCCTCCTGATTGTTTGCTGAAATTTTTTCACATTCATTTTAAGTGGTTTTATTTCAGTATTCAATATGCTCACAAAGATTAATGAAAAAACTGGATTTTCAATCTAAAAACTCACAGCTCATTTGCGTCAAGTTGGACAGAAAATTGTTTTCCTGCAGCGTGTTAATTTGAACAATAGTTGATTCTGAACTGTCCCTACAGAAGAGAGCAGCTTCAGAGAAACTGAACTTTTCTCTAACCACGAGGTAACAAGATCTCAATCCATACTCACCAGGTACAAAATTCTGCGGACATCTGGCAGGAGTGTAGTTGGCTGTGGAGAATATTTTTTTATCAGTTAATAAGTTTGGAGATTTTATAGTTAGTGTTTAAACTAACTGATGCTGATCGTCTTTATCAATGTTTCGAGTTCGTCAATTGTTTTTGTTAACGTGTTTATGAGTTCTGTGTTGGTCTGTATCTTGTTGATGCTGAGACTTGAGTTGCATTGGGCTTGGGCTATTAATGATTTTTAAAGTTTTAAAATATCTTCAAATGTTTTGAATATGCGTTAATCGTTATTATTATTTTGTAATTATGTGTTAGTCATATTTCATTTTATCATTTTATTAAATTTTTTCTTGTACCCACCACAACACTGGCCCTCAGGTGGTTGGCTTGGATTGTCTCTAACTGGCATTATGGATGCCTGTCAGCAAACAATATGAACAATATGAATATGAATATTTTTTTGCGCTATAATGCACATTCATAAAAGCGTGTATGTTGTCTTGTGATGTTACGGTGATATGAGTGGACGTTATGCCGTATATGTATGATTGGATGTATTGTATTGTTATACACATTTGTATTACAACTGACCATGGCATCTGGAGGAACATCTGAACAATCTGGAAGGAGCAAAATGGTTTAAGTTAACAAATTAGCTAGTTTTGCGATGTATGGTGCTTAGATGTTGACAGAAGAAACTTATGCTAAATCGTTTCTAGTATTTGTTCATTTCAAAACAATTTCTGATTATTACGGTTAAGTTGAGATTGATGAAGCTGGTGTACGTACCTTGTGTCCTACAGAAGATGAATGACTTGGCAAACGACCGAGTCCATGTAAGTGACTTCATATTGATTGTTGCTCCTACTGTCAGTTCACTGAAACTGTTGAAGTCGTCAACACTTTCTGACATGTAAGCCAAGGACGAATCAACTCCGTAGGGTACTGACAGTTGAGAGTTCATTGGCGTGAAGAAGCCGACTCTATAAGATGCTAAGATGTTCACTCCGGGACTGAGAGTAACCTGTTTTTGTTCGTTTCATTAGTGTGAAATTGCTTCGGTTAAAAAAATTATTTTGTCATATACATATATGAAAATAATACTTGCAAACGCATTCTTGCAGACACACACACCTCTTAGTCTTATCTCAACGTCGATCATCTAACATTCCATACCTCCACACAAGTTTAAATTTACTACTATTTTAAACCTAACCACTTGTTTTCAGCTTCTTTTATTACAGATTTTAGGTTCCGTTTGTTTGAATTGATTGACACGAAAGTTTCAAAAAATGTAAAATTCAAGAAATTAAAAGTTAAACTCTTCTAAAAAAACTAAGTTAGTACATACGACAAATTACATTACATATTTTTTATATTCTTGAACATTGAATTTATTTAAGGGCTTGCGGACCAGAGCTAATTTAAATTTTACAGTAAAAAATCATAAAAGCTTAACATGAAACATTTCATACTAGGATTAGCCCATCAGGTTCTTCTCATTATAAGCTTTACTGGGAGCGATGTCATCGTTGACATCAGGTATTATTACAATTGGTGCAAGGAATTTAAAGATGATATCCGCAACAGCTGGAATATAATGTAAAATCGCAAATGTTTTCAATTTATTAACACTCAGGTCGAATTGTGCAATTCATTAACGATGTGTGATTCAACGATTGACACAGTTCGAAATATTCATTCAAACAACTGCCTGACCTTCTCGGAGTCCTTCATCGTCGGATTGACGACGAACTGCCATTTGAGAACGCATGACGACAGGTCGGACAAGCAATCCCACAGTTGCACGGCGAATGGGTTTGTGTTGCAAGATCGAAAGATGATCCCCTCATAGAAGGCAGGGACGATCGGCCTGCTTGCCTCCACGACCACTGAACCTCTGCTGTCGATTTCAAACAGTCCACAACATTGATAGCCTGTCAAAAATTATTCTCACAACATATTTTCTAAACTTTGTAAAATAATAAAAGAAAATACCTAATGTATCGATTTTCGATAAATTGTTGAAAAAGCAGAAAACTGCAAAGATTAATTTAAGTAAAACATTCATTATAAATGTTTGATAGTTTACGTTATTCAAATCTACATGAAATATCTTTACGTAAAACGATTAACGTTGAAAAGTTTTGTCGTGACATCTACCAGTAAAAGTTATTTCTGTACAGACTATTCAATAAGCACAGACAATGGGCTTTAGTATGTGTGGTATGCTTACCATTCATCAGGTACGCATTGTTACTACCATAAAATTCTTTTGTCTAGTTGTAACTTTACTTAGTATCATTCTATTAATTATTTTTTTTATTTTTGAGCTCAGAAAGTATTATTAATAATAATATTATTATTACAAAACTTTATTGCTCATTGAAGTTTTTTTTAAGTTAGTTCATTAAACTTAAATGATGAACATTTATATTTTGAAAGTCCTAATTTGATCTGATTAGAGATTGTTGAAAGTATATCCCTGTATTAATTTTTGTGGAAACACAAGCTAAGTTTCAAGCGCCATTTACTTTGAAAGATTTTTTAGGCTGAGAAAACCTATATCGTTGTTATCAAAAATGAAACAAATATATACTTGTAAATAATAACAGACAGTGAAGTGAGATTGTTTCTCTTTTTGAAGACACAAAGTTTAGTTTTTTCAGAATATTTTTCGATCCATACGTAGGTAACCAAGTACATATGTACTTCTGGCAATTAGAATAAGTTGAGTAGATATAGTAGACTAACGAATAAACTTAAAAACTTTAAAATCCGTTTTTAACTAATAACTGCCAAGCAAATGATTGCAGGCGTACAAACATAAGCAGAGCAATTACATTCATTTTGATGAACTTAGAGAGAGTCACTAATTGCCAATAAAATGTTGGTAGTATTCTCTTATTAATTATTAACCAATTATTTAAAGATTTGGTCACCATCATGTAACCAGATAATGAAAAATTGAAGTCATTCTGTACAAAAATTAGTTGAAAAATGTTTTTTGGCATGACCAGTTTTATCGGATTATTCACAATTCTTCCACTGTGATTCCTGGTTTAAAAGCTGAAGCTTCTGTAAAAAAAGCTATAATTTTTTGAATGTTTTTTGAATGTTTTTGAACATTATTTTGTTGATTCTCGGTTACTACAGAGTTAAACATCATTTAAATATATTTTGTTTACAGAGAATCAAAACCTACAACAAAGTTCTCATTCTTAAGCAAGAACTCATTTGATCATTGCCTTTCTTACACCTACTGCGTGTTAAAAAATGGGTAACTAAAAAAATTATTTTTTCTTTCAGCAAATCAACATGAAATGCCAGGTTTTCGTTTGTGTGTTTTCGTGAATATCATTCAACATTATTTTACCAAATTATATGGAAAATTCATAGATAAAAAATTACAACATTTATGCACTCCAAACCACAATTGTAAATATAAAATTATACATTTTGACAAGAAAAAGTTGAGAAAAATGTAATAATATTATTATTCTTTTTTTTCCTTATTATTATTTTATCATTTCAATTTTACTGCAGAGATATTAAACTATCAGTGGTTTAACAGCATTTTAAATACAAATAATGAATATTAAATTGATAGTTAAAAAGTTAGCAAATTACTGTACATGGTTTTACGAAATGGTATGAGATTTCAATATTTTATGACAAATTAATTATTTATTAATAAATAATAATAGTATAATAATGATATCAATAATTAACTAACATAATTTAACAAATCATTTTCAAAAAAAATTGGTCACAAAAATAATTGGTAGTTTATTAATTTTTACGTCTCAGCTTTCAAAATAATTTCGCAGATGCAATTAGTTTGAATGAAGCAAAAAAACTATCAGAATTTTTTATGTGAAAAAAAAGACTGACGTTTTAATATCACAAACCTTGCTATTGAATTATTCAAATAAAAATACAGTTCGTACTAAAAAATGTGTTTATTAATGGAATGTATGTACGTACCTAAAGATAAATTTGGAAGCAAAGTTTTGACGCTGAATGTTTAGAGGATTATTGTAATTTTTTAGACCAAATAGTCAAAATATCAGATATTTGGAAAAGAAAGACGTTTAAATCAATGTAATTGTAGCGTCAATGTGATCATATGCAAAGTTGAAACCCAAAAAATATTTGAGTCGGCCATTCGTATGGCTATACGAATATCTTGGTTTGTTGATAATTGATTATGATAATTTCAAGTTATCAAAATATAACAAATCAAGTTAATTATCAATTTAATTGACAAATTTCAAGTATTACATACTAAGAAATGACTACTAAGTAAGTTTTAAAGGACTTTGAATCATCGTCCAATCGACCACTATTGAAAACTTAACGAACCTTTACATCTTGTTACAATAAAATAATGTTTGAATATCATTGAGAGATGAACAAAATGAAATAAATGAATTTTTACCAAGTTTGTATATTTTGCATTTTATCAAATTTAGCAACAGTACATCTAAGAGCTGAATGAAATGAAACTTATTCAGATCTCCGACGGACGTGCAAGCTTCCCCATCTTGGTAACCTCATCCAAGTCTTTCTCGCATCGACTTACGATGAAGGAGTACCAGACTCAAGTGAAACTCACGACTTTCCTTTCTGCTTCTGATTTCCTTCGAGATGTTTCGATTCCAGTTGTAACATCTTTGCGTCACTCCAACAGTCATCTTTGAGGAAGTTGACCATGGTTTTGTACAAATGTTTTGTTGTTGACCGTCCACCCAACATGTGATTTTTATCCGGGTATATTTGACTTTGGAACATGACCTTGGCTTCGGCGAGTGCTTTCATCAGACGCATGCTGTGTTGCAGATGTACGTTGTCTGGCGTTGAAATATAAAAAGATATTTAAATATCCTTTTGTTTGTTGCTTTCAAACAAGTGTAAACAAAATATCATGGGCGAAATTAATTTTATTATAATTAAAAAATATTAAATAAACCCACCAACACTCACATAACACTCATTCAGGTATAAATTTATGAATTGTTAAATAAGAATTCAATGTTTTATTAATTAACGCAATTAAATATCAGAAAATAAAGATTTGTTTCATCGAATTACTGACCATCAGCTGTGCCATGTATCAGAAGAAATTTTTTATTCTTGAAGTATTTGGCCTTCCGGGAGACATTTGCGCTCTGGCAGAATGTTAAACAATTTTGATTACTACATGCAGTTATTTATTTTAGTTAGCACGATCGGCAACAATTAAAAAAATTTGCAGCCAGTTTTGTGGATCGTCATTATTTGGTTGCACCTTGCTGATAATGGTTTAAAGCCCGTCCTCCAACTTACAACCGAATCACATTCACATGATACTCAAAAACCATGCAATCACAACTTTAAAAACATTTCGCGTAAGTTTTTCTTAATGATAGCATAAATAAAAAATATAGAAGATGTGAAGAAGCATATAACAGCGCATAACAAAACAACAGCCAACATCATATCCAATATAGTTATCCGAGCTTGTTGGCCTCCCCATGTATCTTTCCGTGTATACAGTGTCTGTTGAAACATTGAAAAAGAGACAATTCTGCGACTGCTTTTAATTAATTTCAATCAAATTTAAAAAACTATATTTTAAAACAGATTGAATAGCAAACCGTAATATCTCCAGTCTGTCACGGGAGCTACCGCGATGCCACACTTGAATTCATCGTCGTCCTTGTCTCCTAGAACGTGTCCAACGACAAAGCCACCATACGACTTGATGGTTGATTGATGTCGTTGTGAGTGATTATAATTAGGTTATGTTGAAAGTGTAAAAAATAATATTGTGAAAGAAATCGCACCCATCCCCATATTGCTATCCTGTCTTTGTTTATGTTAGACATCGTCTTCATGAACCTAATTCAAAGAATGTTTTCATGCCTCAAAACATTGAAAATAAAATACTTAAGCAAAAATAACAAAAAAAATTTGTGTAGAATTTCTTCAAAAAGGAAACTGTTAGGTCATTATTTAGTGAAACATTTAAAATCATGTACATTCACATAATATTATCTTAGGGAAAGTCAATTTGTAACTTCACACTGACTCAGCTCCTTTCATCTGGTCTTCGACTTCGATGCTGCCCAACTTGTGGTAGATTTCGTGGAGGTAGGCATCACCTCGGCCACCAGTTCCCCGACCATCGAACGAGGCCACGACAACATTCTCCGCACTGCTCAGGTACGTCAGCCAATCAAGTTTGAACTCCTCTGTTACCTGCTGACTTCCTGGCCCTCCGTAACTTTCAATCAAAAAAACTTTTTTTTACCTTAATCAGAAATTTTTCTTAAATGCAATGAAAATATTAAAATTAAAAAACAAAATAATTTTTTTAATGTAATTATAAACTTTTTACACTATATATATATATATATATATATATATATATATATATATATATATATTTGTGCATATATATATTGTAACGTATTGAAAGACTAACACGTTGATGATGAGAGGGTACTGGTAAAGTTCTTTGTGTGCGTTTGGTGGTAGGAAGAACTGACCATACATCTCTGCAGATGCAATTAAGTTGCAAATAATTAGATGAAATAAACTTATAATTTTATTTACTGTTATAATCGCGTTCACTCACTGACCAATGCCATCATCAACTTTAACTTTGCAGTACTGCTTCTTGGGCAGTGCCTTGCTCGCAAGTTTCTTGATCAGCTCCTTGTTACTTTCCAACACTTTGACTGTTTTTTAATTATTAATTTAAATTTGAATATTATTTATTTACTCAAAATTTGTCTTGTGAAGTTTTTTTTATTTATATGTTCTCCTAACTTTTTATTAAGAAACTCAGAAAAAATTACAAGAATTTCCATCACTATTAATAGAAATTATAAGACATTAAATTTTGCGTGAACCTTCATTATTCATGGTGTTTCTAAGTGTAACCACTGGAACGTGCGGGCCCAAGCAGGTTTCGATGTAGAACTTTCCAGATGCACTGAAGTCTACGTGGACGAACTTGCAAGCAGTCGCGTTCGTCAGACGTTCCACTTTCAATCTACCCTTGCTGTGGTTGTGGTTGTCGTTGATGTCTGAAATGTCGTGATGCACGCTCGGCTGCTGGATTTGTCGCAGTTCTTTGATATCGTTCGGCAGCTTCAGACTGTTTGTGGAGTTTGTTATTAAATCGTTCAACATCTGTTTATAAAATTAATTTTTTCATTCATTAAATTTGGAATATGTCTCAAAAATGAAATTTCGTTCAAGAGTAGTTAAATAGTAACAACCTGTACAAAAATTTGTGCCTGGGGTCTCCGTCCGTTCCAGTGTAATATCTAATGGGTTATGCATGTTGAGAAATGATGGGATAGTTTTTTCAGCGATAACATTCTTTTATGTAGTTTTATGACAAAAAAAACAGAGGTCACTGATAGAAATTTTTTAATGAAAACTGGCTAACAAGGTCTTGGTTTCATCGTCATGACCGACGATTTCAAACACTTCGCGAGGACCATCCGTCAGGAAAACTTTGTGTTCATCTGAATTCATCTGAAATTTTGTTTTTCATCAGATATTTTTATTATTTCATATTATTCCGTGTGTGTGTGTTTGTAATTCATCCTAACATATATTATTTCAAGAAACTAACAGAGGCAGAAGCGAGGGCAACATGTTTCCAATATCCTGACTGACTGACGAGTTTTGACGAGATGAATGCATAATACTGGTTGTTGTTGATCAGCTGGATGTTGTCCTGTTGTTCAGTGTTTGAAATATCACCATTTGTAAAGAATAACTTCAAACTTGCAAGAAACGCAAGCATGTTGTAAGTCAAAATATCGCAGACAATAACAACATCATAGACAAGCAAGACAACTGAGAGGAAAAACAACGACCAGATGAACAAGAACCAACCACAACTACCCATCCTCTGCCTTGGTGCTGGTTTTCCACGAGATTCTGTTTACAGGATGAAGAAATTAAGATTAAATTGTAAACAGAAAATGTATTTTATTGTAAAAATGAGCATTGAAACAAACAATTAACCAATTTTTTGAAACAGACAGCCAGACAAATAGACAGTCAGACAGCCAGACAAACATACAGACACACGACAAATAGCAGACCTGCCTGCAATCAATAGAGTCAACATTGCAAACGATGATGATTGATTTGTTCTGGGCACGATTGGACCAGGTGATCATCAAATGTTTTGAGTCTTGCCACTTCACCATCGTTATGTAGTGCTCACTTTTTTCGTTTTTCATCATTGTTTTAAATATTTGTTAATAAATTATTCTAATATCTTTTTCAGAAGTTACCAATGAGAACTTATTAGAGCAGTTACATTTTGTCCCTTTAATGTACGTCTGCATAAACGCATTAAAATGTTGCGCTTCAAAATAAGACCACGGCATTTTAATTTAATTAAAAATAGACAATGTGTTTGTAAATTTTCGTTTAAGCTTTTAATCTTTACAAATTAAAAATTTAATATAAATAAAAACTTTGAAAACACTTACTGAAAAAGACAGATTGATTAGAATGAAATTATGTTTTAAATGATAAAAAGTGAATGAAAAAAGCAATCAACCGACATGCTGGTGAACTCGCTTGGAGGAGAAATGAGGCGGTGAACTGATTTGACGTTGGAGGTGTCAGCCACGTACAACTTGATGGTCGGATTGTTGCCTTCTCTCAATTCTCCTGCCTGGAAATGGTAAAAATGGTACAATAGGCTATTATTACACAACATATGTGCCAGTAAAGTTACTACCAAAATTTAGAAAATTTGAAAAACCATTAACAAGCATTTATTAAAAAGCAAAGAACTAAAATGTGGAAGATGCAAACTTTTGGATAGTAGAGTTTGACGTAGTCGTCGTAGAAGGTCTCCTGTCCGTCGTACCTCGTGATCGTCTGCATGTTCACGTTGGTCTCATTCAGTTGGATGTAGGCGACGTTTTTGTTGTCTGGAGACAACCAGTGACCCTTACCACTATAAAAAATTTCTTCTGCGATTGAATGGAAGAGTTGAGTTCAATTTTTTGTAATCGTATAAATCCAAATCCGTGTTAACATTTTTCAAACAAAAATTAAAAAATAAATTCATACTATTATCAATAAATACTATTTCAAACATAAAAATTAGTTAAATTTTGCTCATGTTATCAAATGTGTTACAGAGTGTTATACACCAACTAAAGTTGTATTTTAAAATGTTCATAAGTAATAGAAATAAATAACGAAATGTGCTAAAAAACATAAACGTATTTTTTAAACGCGTAAATGCGATAACTTCAACATTTTCAATTCATTAAAACAAAATTTGTAAGAAACCCACCTTCGTAGAGCCAATCAGGAACCGCCGTGAAGATGACGTCAGTGTTCTTGTTGTCACTGATCTTAACTGGAGTGACGTATGGTTCGGATTGGAAGTACAAGTTGTTGTTGTACACAAATGTCTGGTGGTGATGATGATGATGAGTGGGTAGAAATTTTTTTGACAAATTAATTTGTTTCACACTGTTCGACGAAACGAAGCATTACTTTAATTTTATCTTTCATGCTTCCCTATTTTGTTTTAAACAGTTTATGTTCTTACAAACTTTCCTAAACCTTTTGTTACTTGAATGCTAATAAAACCCACTAAAAAACCAACGTTGTTAGTACACAAGTTCATTAAGCAATTTTTGTTTTGAGAAAAAACAAATTATAATTTGTATATAAATAAACAAACTGTACATGTGTGAGTGATCGGAAAATAATGAAAAAAAACGTAAGATGTATGAGTGGACTGACCAGTGAATGTCCAGACGGGGACCACTCCGCGTACTGCAACTTGCGGGTACTCCACACTCTTTCTGGACTTTTGTCGAGAGGAAATTCTATGGGCTGGTGTCTGTAGGTTGTGTCATTTAATTAATTAATTAACTAATTAATTTTTAAATATTGGTAAAAAGAGTAATTGAATTTAACAAATATTTTGAAATAAATAAATTAAATGTTCTTTAATGGTTCAGATTAGACAACAAGTACAATAAGTATATTCAGCGAAAATATTTGCGAAAATAACGCCGCGTTAGAGTCTCAAATTATTGAATGAAGCGACGTAATTAACAAACCTTTGTTGTAATAAAAAGCGAAACTGAAAAATGATAATATTAAAATGAAAAATTAAGAAAATTGAAAAATTTGTGAAAGAGTTCTTACTTATCAGAAGTTAAACGAGGGAAGATTTTGTATTTCGCATTGAATGAATATTTGTACAGCTGTGGAACAAATTGTTCAAAGTTAATTTATATATTAATTATATAGCATTTATGAAAAATTGAGTAAGTTAATTAATGAATGAATTAATAAATAAGATAATTGAAATAAAAAAGAAAAAAGAAGCTACTTGATCGACTTCATAAGCCACCAGGACGTATTTAAGATCAGCCGACACCCAGAACTGTTCACTCTCCAACGATTTCTAAACGTCATTCAACAATTTTGTTTTACACTTCCAGGTAGAAATGTTGTACAATTTTTACGTTTTTACAAGACAAAACCAAAAAATAATATCGACCAAGTATCACGACAGAATTTAATAAACGATTCATCTGGTCAGTTCAGTACCATTGGTTCTTTCGACTTAATTTTACTTTTGTATAAATCTAGCAAATGAGTTTTTCAAGTGTTATGAATTGGAAAAAAAGTAATTTTTATTAACAATAAATAACTTTGTTATTAATTATCAGTTGATCAGCAAGCATTATTTGGATAGGACTTTTTCTGATTTAATTTTTTGAACAGTAGGAAACGATTATTTTTTGAAAATATTAATCATCCACCCACCAGCTGGTTATCAGTTAGAATTATTTCGCTTTGGTTTGTTTCTGTATTGTACATGTAGACATCACCAGATTCAAGATGTTTGTACACTAGCACATCTGTTTAAATGCAGTTTAGCAGTTTCATAAAGCACTCAAAAATTAATTGGCAAGTAGGATGAACCAAGAGAACGATATGGTATATCATGAAACGTTGGATAATTTAATAAAAAAAATTGTGAAAATATAGAAATTGTGAGAATTATGATAAAATTGTAAAAAATTATAAATACAAAATAAATTTTTAATATTTGTATTTCGACCTCCAATCCATCTTCCGTTGAATTTTTTAACGTCAAAATTCCCACTGAAGATGTCATCAAAGGTGATGGGCTCACCCAGGCTGTTGCCAGTGTTTTCTGTTGCGAATTGTTAACGAATCATCGTTCGTCTTCATTTTCTTGCAATGTAACAAGAAAATTTGACTAGCGGAATCGATACGCTAATAGGTTCAACAACAAAAAAGTTGTGTTTGGAGATGCGTGTTTGTAGATGTTCGGTTATATTATATATCAACAAAAACATATTTAAACGTTTACTTGTTGTAAAAATTTGAACAATATAGAACAATAAAATGTGTACAAAAATTGTATCAACTGTTTACATCACCAAAATGAAAGGTTTGAAATGGCGACATTTTTTAATGAGACAATGAAAATGATGACATTACTTAATGATACGATGAAGATAGCAAGGCCAACGAGCGAGCAGATGATGAGGATGACCAACAGGGCTATCAAGATGCCTTTCCAATTCTTACCATCGGAATCATCTTCCGCCAACTCCTGAGAAATCATCATTCATGATAACAATTTTTATCAATGAAGGCGAAAAATAATGTTTAAAATGTGTAGTAAATCATGCTTAAAATGTACTACTTCATTCAATATTTATTTCCCTGCATATTTCACAACGCGCTAGAATACGTTGAGAGCTTTAAAAAGTTTCCATTAGCGACGCAGTTATCAAAATAATTAAACAAAAGTTTTAATGTTATAATTTTTTTTAAATTGTTCAAGTTAAAAAAAATCAAAAAAACTTTTAAAAGTGTACAAAACAGTTGCCAAAAATATTTGAACATCCAGATTAAAATTTTTTTTTGGGCAAACTTTTAAAGCTTTTATGATAAACACGTTGTCTTATCAAATGAATGGATGGACGGCATATATTATTGACACTATGACTCTTGCAACCAATGCTATAGTAAAGTTAATTTGAATTAATATTTATTTAATTTTCGACATAATAATTAATAAAAAAAAATTATTATACAATTTTTTCGTTAAACAAATTTATTTGAACCGCAAATATGGTAATACATATAACAGACATCGGGCATAACACAAAGATAAGTGATGAAAAATTGACAACAATATGATTACAAATTTATGATAAACAGAAAAATTGACGATAAATATATTTACAACTTCATCGGAGTTCTTCCCCTTCTCCATGGACGAACTACGAGAAGCTTTCCTATGATTTATTCCTCCAGATGTTTCTTGCTTACGTTTCAACTTTTTGCTTCTTTTGAAATTGTCGTCGTCGTCGAGGCCGGCGTTGTTGAAAGGATCTGCCTCAGAAGTGTTTTCTGAGTCCAGTTTTTGTGGAATTTAAAATTTGGCTGTGTGCGTTTCAGAGGTACTGGTTCAAGAAGTTCGGAAATATTCTCTATTTCTAAAATAACCGGTGATAAACTTCAATTTAGAATTGAGAACATCCTTCCATCAACAAGTTTGAGCTTGCTTCCAATTGAAAATTCCACTTTATTTTGACCCAACGGTTAAAAATCATTCGAAAAACGTATCAGTTTCAAAACTGGAATAAAACACGCAATCGCGAATGATATGAACAAGAAATTAAATAAATAAATTATATAATTTATGCTCGAAACGGTTTTAATAGGAATTTATAATCATCTTTCCATGCTCGTTTACGCTGCTGAAGAAAACGGAGCATGCACAAACGAACGCAAACATGGATACAGACAGCTTACTCCGTGAGAAGCTAGCAATTCTGAGCATGTTTGTGCGCTTGTGTGCTCATTTCAAGCTGGCGTGTCTTTGTATGTGTTTGTTTGTTTGTGTGTGTATGTGTGTCGGTGTGTGCTTGTGTGTGTTCTTGTGTGTGCGTTCATCCACAAATTGTAAAAATTAGATTATGCTGTTACAAGTTTTTAGAAACAGTTTTCATAAATTTGATAAATTTATTGTGCTTTATTTAATATAACATAGTATCTAATGAAACATGCTTACCTGAAAAACTTCACTGCAAATTATATAATTTTATGTGATATCGAAATCATTTTTGTAGTGATGATTTTAAATGATTGATAATTAAAATGTTTGTTTCTAATTTTAATTAAGGAAAATTTCATGAAAAATGTTAAATTTTTTGGCGATAACAATATGGATGGAATTGTTTCAAATGTTTAACTTCGTCAGTCTAAATTTAATAAGTAAATATGATGCGCTAACAAATGAATAAATTTTTGTGAAGACTGAAGCATATCTAACAATTTTTGAACAATTAATTTTTTTGTAAAAAAAAGTTTAATAAAAAATATTTGCCAAAACCCTTTCATTCAATAAAATAAACATGTTTTAAAAAAATCATGAATCAAACTTAACTTGTTATAAAATAAAAAAACCACACACACTCAAACAAACAAACACAAACAAACACACACAAACAAACAAGCACACACAGACAAACAACACACAAACAAACAAAAACAAACACGCACACACAAACCAACACACACATACACACACACACACAAACGACCAAGGAATTGTATACATGTTGCATTCTATAGTACATGGATTACATAGTATCGAAATAAACCGCTCTCTCCATCATCATTATCTCATCTCAATTGTTATATACGCACTACAGGTATTATTAATAATAAAAAGAATAATAATAATAATATAAAGCAACAACTAAAAAAACTGTTTCCTGTTCACCTGGATAGATGGATGGATGGTGTGAATTGGTTGAGGAATGAATGTAAATAAATGGATGGATGGATGGATGGATGAATGAATGAATGGATGGATGAATGAATGAATGGATGGATGGATGTATGGATGGATGGATGGATGGTTAGATGGATGGAATAGATTGGCAAATGGATGTGGGAATGAATAGATTGGTGACGGATAGAATGAATGAATAGATTGGTGACGGATAGAATGGATGAATGAATGTATGTATTTACAAATAAATAGATAAATGAAGGGAAAAATAAATAGATATAGGAACAGATAAATAGATAAAAAGATAAATAAATTTGTGGATGGATTATTATTATTATTATTGGTGTGTTTGTAAGCGCCCTTAGTAAATTGCGTAAAATTTCATTAAAGCCATGCAATGAATGGAGAGAGAAAAACATTACCAGGGGTAAACTTGGGCAAAAAGATGTTGTTTCAGCCTTTTACGAAGTTGAATAACAGACAACGCAGGATTACGAAGGTCCCTAGACAAACCATTTCAGACAGCAGGACCCATTGCGGAGAAATTCCTTCGACCAAAGGCCAAGTTTGCGTCGGGTACAAGCAGTAAACCTGAATTGTCAGAGCGCAATGTTTGACTCAGCAGTGACATTGTTCTAGGAGTGACTCTACCAATTAAATATTTACAAGGCAACTCCCTTAATACATTTAAAAACCGTTAAACATGAAAATAACTCTTTGATAAAGCCAGTGAAGAGCAAAAAAGAATTGGCTTAACGTGATCGTATTTATAATAAATAGGTAGATCGAAAATACCTGGGTTAACAAATTAATATACAAATAAATGTACAGTTGGATAAATGATCAAAATAAATAAATTAAACCAACAAACATACAAATAAACCAGCCAACCTACCTACCTACCAACCAACAAACAAACAAACAACTGACAAACAAACAAACAAACAAACAGATAATAGAACGAATAGACGTATAAATGAATGGAAGATGATGACACAAGAGAAAAAAAACTTTTTCTATTATTCCCTTCATCAGTTTGCCAAGTGCATTTTGAAAAGGTTGGTGTAGGTATAGGCGCATATTTCCATATAAATACACATAATTAATTATACACAAATACATACGTAATAACCTTATAATTATATGTAAATATAAATAATGAACCGATATTTTTTCTGTAATTAGTCGAATGGAAGGATGGATTGGTGGATGTTTGTATATCTATAAATGGATGAATAAATGAATGAATGAATAGCTGAATGTATGGTTGGTTTGATAGGTAGATAGATAAATAGATGATAGACACATACAAACAAACACACATGCACACATACACGTACATACACGCACAAACAAACACACAAGCACACACTCAAACATACATATATATATATATATATATATATATATACACAGACACACAAACAAACAAGCACACAAGCACACACACACAAACACACATATATACACACACACAAACAAACAAACAGACACAAACACACACACACACACGCTAACAGTCCTTGCTTGATCAATATTATAACTTCTACTTCCTCACATGTGTTGTTTTGTTTTTGTGCATATAATAAAATATAATTATATATATATATATTAATAAAAAAACAATGAGGTTATCGGTATAAATGTTTGCAAAAATATTTACACACGTATTTATACGCTAATATGTGCCCAACACAACCACACAATACAATATGTATATATATATATGTGTGTGTGTGTGTCTATGTATGTGTTTGTCTGTGTTTGTATGCGTGTGTGTGTAAGAGTGAGTGTTTATATCTTTGCTATTGGGACGATATGTAATGCAAAGTAAATTAACGGCACTATGGCACTATGCTTGATTATAAATTATACATGATAATACTAACGTTAAAAATATTTGCTATACAGTTACATATCCACACACACATACAGACACATACACACACACATACACAGACACACACACACACACAATAGAGTATAACGAAGTATAACGATAACTACAGTCTCGATAACATGGCAGTAATTTAGAGCGGAAGTTACTAATAAATGTCCGCCCGTTAATGTCACGATGCCCTTCACTCTCTTTTTATGCGCTTGTACGTAACTGTTGCAGACATTAATGTCGTTTTTAAACAAACAACAACAACAACAATAATAATATTATTATTAATACCAACCACAAAAATAATAATAATAACAACAACAGCAAAATGACAAAATAAAGATACACAGTAGTAATAAAAACATCGAGGAGGGTTTATTATTTTTCTTTATTATGATTTTTACGATAATTACGAAGATCGTACTCGGGCCATCTATCCGCCAGAAAGTTCAGGCCTGTAATTGGAGCATGCATCCCTCTTAATGGCTTAGGACTCATTTTTATGCGTTGTTACGCTGGCGGGTATAATTATAATCAGGATTATTACCATTTAGAAACAAAAGCTGATCTATTTCCGTATCATCTTCATCATCGTATTCAAATGACGGACGTTGATGACTGGACATTTTTGCTTTTCTTTATTTATTTATTGAGACTTTCATCAATTGCATTCATTGGAGTTTTTTGATTTTAGAATTTTGGCTCAAGAAAAACGCTCCTATTATCATTATTATTATTTATTGTTATCATTATTATAGTTGTTGTTATTATTATTTATTGCTATTGAAGTTTTCAGCGGTTCTTATCTAATGCCAACATAGCATCTACATTTTAATGCAATCCTAGTCCGGCGGACGTAGTTCTAATGATTATTATTATTTATTATTTTTTTATTGTTTTTTTTTATTAAGGTTCTTATTCAATGCCAACACGCAAGCTGCTCTCGGGCAAACCCTTGTCTTATTAATCTTCTGATAGATATCTTCTGCTTGCAGTACTGCACAATGTACATTGGAGACACGATACCTTTCTTAGAATATGTATTAATTATGTTATGATAATTATTTAATTATTTACTAGAAAACTGAAAATTATTGTTTGTACACAAAAACACACACATACACCACACATACACACACACATAAACAAAAACGCTGAAATGAAAAGACATGAAATACAATCAGTATCTCAAACTCCAGCAAATAAAAAAAATATCCGGAAACTATTAGAGATGAATTTTTGCGGTAAAATATCTTTTTACATCGTTAAAACGAATGGAATTTTTTGTATAAACATTTTTGTAAAAAGCAACATTTTGCTTTTGACTTTTTTCGTTTTTATAAACAATGTATGATCGAACTACTGAATATTACATTGGATAATTAAATTCATTAAAACACGTTTTAACAACCCCATAAAAGACCACAAATCACTGACAACTGAAAAAGTAAGCTTAAAATACTGTCAATGTAAAAATTCAAATTGATTTTATAAAATCAATATTTAAATATTTCAACATTTTTCTGGATCGACTACAATCCTGAAAATCAAAGACTGAAGAACGGAATGGATGGATTTTTTCACATGTTCGAGTAATTTAACGTGAAACCAGCAGGAAAATTTTCTCGATTAAGATAATTTTTTCAGTGCAAAAAGCCGTCATTTTATTTTCATTAGAGGAGATAACTTAAATGGATGAAAAAACAAATGGGAAGATTAGAAAGCAATGAAACCGAGAGTGAAATGAGTTTCTAAAGTTAATTTTCACCAGCGCATACAAAACGCACATATCAATTATGATTAATTAATTAATATATATGACGTACAATGTATATACACACACACCAAATAAATAACATTCCGACTTAATCTGAATACTTGTGACGTATTTAAAAACCTTTTCGTTTAGAATTTAATTTAAATTTTATTGCAAATCAGTTACGAACAAATTAGAAGTAATAAATAAATAACTTAACAGAAAAATTGCGAGCACATGTTTCTAAATTGCGCATGTAACCATGATTAATATCGTAAGATGGTTTAGTTTTAGTCTGTAAACATAAAAATGAAATAAAATGGAATCACTTTATAGTCATGCTGAAAATTGAGTTGTTTGAGAGCATGAAATGAAACTAGGGGGGAGATGAAAAAAATG